CTCCCCTCCGTCCCGGGTCGCAGCCTTGTCCGCAGCGCACGTGTGCCGTGGCAGGGTAGCGAGCCTGCGGCGAGTGGAGTGCTGTCTGCAGGCAGCCGCCAGCATGCCTTGCGCTGCGCGGTTGGGTGGGTGCAATTAATCAAATCCTTACGGATGTGGCACGCGGCTGACATCTGGTACAGCAAGCACGGTGCGCAGGTTGCCGTATGGGGTAAGAAACACAGGGACCCTCTCCTGGAGGGACAGGGAGCCTGCAGACAAACCGCAGCTCCCAGAGCGAGCCAGGGCCCAAAAGGGCCGCGATGACCCGAGCTGTGGGGAAAGGACAGTCTCAAGTCACAGTGGAGAGATTTCTGTCTGATCTAGTATTGCTGCTCCACTGCTCTAGAAGGGTGTTTTAGGGTACTGGTGTGGGCGAGTTCAGGAAAGAGAAGGGGGTAGGAAATGGAGTTACTTTCTTTACTATAAAAGAGTTAGAAACTTGGTCTGCATAGGTTTTCAAGGGGAATGAGGTATGGATGGGCTGGGGAAGCTGTTTTGGTACTGCCACCTGCCACCCAGGCACTTGGCCTATCCAGGTCCAATGGCTGGGAATCAAACCTTTATAAAGCAGATATGGTTTGTATCTGCTTTATACCCAGAGTTACTGTAGAGTCTTCATTGTTGGCAGTTTCAAATGTAGCAGATTGGAGAGCAGGAAAGCTGCGTGTTGCTACAGAGGACGTCAGAGCAGGTGATTGTGACGATCCCCTCTGTGTCTTGTTTCCTGCACGGGGCAGATGGGTGGCAAAGAAGCAGGAGGAGGTCAGCAGAGCACGACTTGTGGGTTTTGAGAAGGTGCTTTTGGGGTGCAGTGAGGCCAGAGTAGCCTGCAGGCCCAGATGCCACTAGAGGGAGATGTGCAAGTGAGCTGCAAGGAGAGGGCTGAAATGCAGCTAAGAGCAGGGCGGAAATGCAGCCCGGTGCTCAGTGCTGGGCCGGTTCCCTGCCATGGCCCAGAGAGGGGCAACGCAGACCTGCCACAAGAGGGAACCTGGCAGCGCTCCCTGAACTGAGCTGACCATGCTTCATCCCCTTCCATCCGTAGGACTTAGAGCAGCTGCCAAATGAGGACACCAACCTGCTGCCCCAGCTGCAGCGCCTGGAGAGCACGCTGAGTGTCTGCACCGAGGAGGCCAGCAAGAACCAGGTCTTCATGCGCCTGGGCCACATGGCCTCTGAGTTCAACCGCCTGGCCTCCAAGGTGCACAAGAATGAGCAGAGGACATCACTCCTACAGGTGAGTGAGGGCTCACTGGGGTCTTCCCCGGGTTTTTCCTTTTTTCTACCAAGCCTTCCTTGTCCTTGTGCTGCCCTGCTCCATCCTGCCCCTGTCTGCTGTGGGCCCCTTCCCTGAGCCCCCTTGCTGCTGCCAGCCAAGGAGCTGGTTCCTGGGGATGGTACTCTCCCGGCAGCCACACTCTGGGATTTCTGTCTGATCTAGTATTGCTGCTCCACTGCTCTAGAAGGGTGTTTTAGGGTACTGGTGTGGGCGAGTTCAGGAAAGAGAAGGGGGTAGGAAATGGAGTTACTTTCTTTACTATAAAAGAGTTAGAAACTTGGTCTGCATAGGTTTTCAAGGGGAATGAGGTATGGATGGGCTGGGGAAGCTGTTTTGGTACTGCCACCTGCCACCCAGGCACTTGGCCTATCCAGGTCCAATGGCTGGGAATCAAACCTTTATAAAGCAGATATGGTTTGTATCTGCTTTATACCCAGAGTTACTGTAGAGTCTTCATTGTTGGCAGTTTCAAATGTAGCAGATTGGAGAGCAGGAAAGCTGCGTGTTGCTACAGAGGACGTCAGAGCAGGTGATTGTGACGATCCCCTCTGTGTCTTGTTTCCTGCACGGGGCAGATGGGTGGCAAAGAAGCAGGAGGAGGTCAGCAGAGCACGACTTGTGGGTTTTGAGAAGGTGCTTTTGGGGTGCAGTGAGGCCAGAGTAGCCTGCAGGCCCAGATGCCACTAGAGGGAGATGTGCAAGTGAGCTGCAAGGAGAGGGCTGAAATGCAGCTAAGAGCAGGGCGGAAATGCAGCCCGGTGCTCAGTGCTGGGCCGGTTCCCTGCCATGGCCCAGAGAGGGGCAACGCAGACCTGCCACAAGAGGGAACCTGGCAGCGCTCCCTGAACTGAGCTGACCATGCTTCATCCCCTTCCATCCGTAGGACTTAGAGCAGCTGCCAAATGAGGACACCAACCTGCTGCCCCAGCTGCAGCGCCTGGAGAGCACGCTGAGTGTCTGCACCGAGGAGGCCAGCAAGAACCAGGTCTTCATGCGCCTGGGCCACATGGCCTCTGAGTTCAACCGCCTGGCCTCCAAGGTGCACAAGAATGAGCAGAGGACATCACTCCTACAGGTGAGTGAGGGCTCACTGGGGTCTTCCCTGGGTTTTTCCTTTTTTCTACCAAGCCTTCCTTGTCCTTGTGCTGCCCTGCTCCATCCTGCCCCTGTCTGCTGTGGGCCCCTTCCCTGAGCCCCCTTGCTGCTGCCAGCCAAGGAGCTGGTTCCTGGGGATGGTACTCTCCCGGCAGCCACACTCTGGGTCTGGTAGCAGAGCTGGGGCTCGGCGGAAGCTAGGTGGCCAGGGAGGCTCTTGGGGCCATCAGCCTTGTTAAAGGGAGGGCATTCGCCTGTGTTGGTGCCTCAAGGAGCCTCACACTGCCAGCATTTTCCCCGCAGACACTGTGTGAGCAGCTGCGCAATGAGAACGAGGAGCTGCGAGCCAAGCTGGAGAGGGACCTGGAGCAGAGAAACCAGGCCCTGGAGAAGCTCAGGTGAGGGTGGCTGATGGGATAGGGGATGGAGCTGCTCTCCTGGCTGCCCCGGATGTTTCTCCCCACCTGACCGAGGCTGTCTCTGCCCTGCAGATGTGAGAACCAGGAGCTCCGGAGGATGGTGACGCTGAGCAGCAAGGAAAATGCAAAGAGGGAAGGTGCCGAGCAGCAGCAGGTAATGGGACAGCCCCTCTGCTACCCCAGCAGCGCTGCCCTTGGAGAGAGCTGGGAAGGAAGCGGGGAAGCCTACAAATCACACTGGCAAATATCTGCATGGGCTGATTTTAAACAGGAACCCTGTCCTTCAGTTTGTCCCAGCGTGACTGGTGCAACTGTTTAGGAACTTGGGGGTTGGGGTTGGAGGCAGTGGCATGCAAAGTTGTTTATGTTTAGCTGATTTCTCTGCCTGGCCTCTGCAAAAGTCCTGAGGGTGCCTGTGTGTGTGCTTCCACCAGAGTGGGACCATGGTGGAGAAGGTGCCAGGCAGAGGAGGGCTGGAGGCCAAGGAGAAGAAAGTGAAGATCCTGGAGCACCAGCGCAACGAGGTGAGGCTCGATGCCGGGGTGAGCTGCCAGGCTGCCTGAGGGAGGCACCAACAAGGAGGAGGGAGTGGGGTTGGATTGAACTGTGGCGCATGCAGCTGAGGTTGCGCTGGTGAGACTGGTGGTGGTGCGGAGGCCAGAGGAAGGGCTGTGGAGCAGCAGGAAAGTGCTGCCTGGAGCAGGGATCTCCACTCAGCTCATTCCTAAGGTGTTTTTGCAGTGGGTTTGTGGAGAGTAACAGGAGGCTGTTCAGGGCTAATGCAGGGCTGCGCCTTACTTGGGGCTGGGCCTGGGCTCGCGTTCACCCAGCCCTTCCTCCCTGCAGCTGCTGGAGGTCAATAAGCAGTGGGATCAGCACTTCCGATCCATGAAGCAGCAGTACGAGCAGAAGGTGAGTAAGGCCCAGCGCTCAAGGCTGTTTGCACGTCTAGCCACGTATGGGGTGGGGAGACTCAGAAGAGACTGAGTGTCAGGGAAGATGTTGGGGTGCTGTCCGTGCCCTGCTCTGCTCGTTCTACCTCTAGTACAGGCCCGTCCCCCCCCGCCACTGGAGCTCAAGAGACCAATGTCCCCTTCCCTCCTGGCAGATAACAGATCTGCGCCAGAAGCTGGCTGAGGCGCAGAGAGCGCTGACTGAGCTGGAGTCAGAGCGGGAGCAGAAGCAACGGGATTTTGACCGCAAGCTGCTCCTGGCCAAATCCAGGATTGAAACGGAGGAGGCGAGTCCCTTGGGAAAGGCTGTGGGGAGCTGCCAGCCCTGTCGCCCTCCCCTGGCTGATTTCCCTCCCGGCTCTTCCAGGCGGAGAAGGACAGGCTGGCCACAGAGGTGAGGGACCTGCAGCAGAGGATGCGGTTCCTGCAGGAGCAGCTGGCTCCTGTCACCAAGCAGAGAGAGTACCAGGAGAAAGAGATCCAGAGGCTGAACAAGGTGAGGCCTGTGACACAGCTGGTCCTTGCAAAGTGTCTTTTATGCTCTCCAGCCTCTTCTGCTCTCTCGACTCCCAAACTGACCCTGTTCCACCCTTTCCTGCCTCTGCCCAGCACTGAGCCCAGGAGGTACCAGTGCTGTGGAGCTCAGCCTTCTAAGCCTCCTCAGATGCCCCCACCTGTAGCTCCTTGCCTAGGAGGCCTGGAAGGAGGTGCCTGCACCATGGCAAAGAGCCTCGTCTGGGTGGCAGCCAACTGTGGCTCCTTTGGGACCATGCCTAGTAGCATCTGCTGCTCCACGCTCGCCACCTCTCCGGGGGGAGGCAACAGAGGGAGCCTGTGTGGGACAGAGCTGACCGCATCCCTCTAGGCTCTCTGGGAAAGGATGCTCAGCTTCCTGAGCGTCCTTCCTCCCAATGAGGGGATTGCTCAGCTTGTTTATACCCGCTTCCAGCGCTGGGCACTATGGCCCTCTGGAGATGTTGCCTGCACAGCGCTTTGCTCTGACTGCTCTCCCTGCTCCTCCTCTCCCTCCTCAGGCACTAGAGGAGGCCCTGAATGTCCAGGCCTCTCCACCACCCACCTTTGCCACTGCTGCGGAGCCAGTTGGGAAGATGCCACGGCAGGAGCTGCTGACCCAGAATGAGCTCCTCAAGCAGCAGGTAGGGCAGGGCAGAGCAGCCCCTGCTCCCACAGAACTGACAGAGGCTGAGAGGTAGCAAAGAGCCCTGGCTCCCCCCGGCACAGAGCCCGGCATGGCTTGGAGCAGCCCGGGAGCCCTAGCAGATGTCTGTGCTGGGGGTGGGGGTGGGAGTCAGCTGCTGAGCACAGGATCCTCCAGGCCTTAGCTGGAGGCACTGCAGTCGTGGGCTGTAATGCTAATGTACCTGCCTGGAGCTTGGCTTAGCCTGTGGGGACAAGGACAATAACACAGCAATGGTGTGTGCTTGGAGAGAGGAATCTGCCCTCAGCTGGGTGCACCCATATCCCTTCCCTCTGCCAGGTGAAAATCTTTGAGGAGGACTTCCAGCGGGAAAGGAGTGACAGGGAGAGGATGAACGAGGAGAAGGAAGAGCTGAAGCAGCAGCTGGAGAAGCTGCAGAAGCAACTGGCAGTCTCCAACAACCAGGTGAGCAGCGCTGTGCACCACTGGCAGCTCCCAGGAGCCCCAGGGTCCCTTGCAGGGCGAATTAGAGATGCTCATCCCCAGTGTTACAGCCCCCGACAGCACTGGGGTCGCCGTTTCTACCTTGGAGGAGGGAGTGAGGAGGAAGCAGAAAGGCCAGAGCAGTTGTTTCCCTTCCTCTTGTCTCTGCTGGAGCCAGCTGGGGAGGGCCTGGGAGGGCTGAGGTTGGTTTGGACCTGTAGTGTATGAGTGGTGCGAAGCTCCCATCTGGCCTGGCAGAGAAAGGCCTCCTTTTGTGAGGCAGGTGTCACCAGTGAGTGGGAGCTGGCTGTGCCCCCAGGAAGGGATTTGAGGCCATCTCCCTGCACTTTCTTCTTCCTCTTGCTAGTCATCTGTGGGGCTGACTTGGGGAACCTATAAGCACAGGAGAGGGGCAGCCCATGGCTGTCACTGTGCCAAAAAACAGCCTGTCTCCTGTCCTCTCCCTCTCCAGAGGGAAGGCTGGGAGAGCCTTGGCTATAACCACAGCTCCCCACTGTTGGCCTGGGGTTTTATTCCCTGGTGTGGGCAGGTCTGCAGGGCCTTGCAGCATCCCCTGCCCCATGGACATGGGATGGGGCTGGTAGGGTAGGCTCCACGCTAACCTCCCCCCTCACTCCCAGCTGCGTGTCTCCAAGGACGACTGCCAGCGGGAGAAGGAGGAGAAGGAGAAGCTGAAGAAGCTGCTGAAACAGCACAAGCAGGTAGGGAGGATGGAAAGCCTTCCTGGCCCTGACCAGAGGGGCTGGTGTGGGAGAGGGGCTGCGGAGCTGCGGGCTGGCCAGCAAGTCCTGGCAGTAGCCCCTCGTTTGCTGTCGGGCTGCGTGGGTTTGGGGCACGCCTCGGAGAGGTAGATCTGGGTCCTGGTGGTGGTTTGTATCAGTGGCTGCCCCCAGTGCTCTTCAGCATCTCTCCCGGCTCTTCACAGGCTTCTGGTGAGAGACTGCACCCCGAGCCGCTGCCGGGGCCACTGGCCCCCGCCTTCCCCCTGTATCAGTACCAGTACAGTCCCCCTGTGGCTCACCCCATGTACCACGGCTTTGACGACTGGCAGCAGATCCGATACCCACCAGCAATGCCAGGCGAGCACGCGCCGGGACAAAACTTCCACCACTTCGCTCCAGTGAGTATCTCCTTTGCCCCTGCATCCCCAGTCTCCTCTTTCTGCAGTTTTGGGAGGTGTTTGGGCAGCCAGTGCCTGCCCTGCTGGGCTGTCCCATGCGAACAGGACTGGGCTCATTGCAGAGTGAGCAGCTCCTCCGAGGTTGCGTGGGGAGAGAGTCACCAAGCAGGGAACTGAGCGTGCATGTCCTGTTGGCATGCAAATGCTCAGCCCTCTTTCCCCCTCATCCTCCTCTTCCTGTGTCGCAGCAATTCAATACAGAAAGAACAGGCTTGTTGATTTACATGTGTGGTAATTCGATGTTTCCCTGTCCCCTGTTCCAGCCAGAGTACCCCTGGCGCCCACCCTGCGCGATGTCTCGGAGCCAGAACGCCCAGGCAGTGGCTGGGATGAAACCGGTCCCCAAGGACTTGGGTAAGGCACGGAGGGTTGGATCGGGAGGGATGGGAGAGGAGAGTGAAGTCGAGTGAAGGCTCAAAGGGGGCACAGAGTTTTTCAGGCAATAGCTCTTTCTTTCCCTCCAAACTCCATCTCTGATCAGAGGAGTGAGGCAGTGATTCTGCTGTGCCCAGTGCCCATCCCTTCCACAAGGGTAGTTTCTGCTCTGTTCCCCTTCCCTGTCCCGTCCTCTGGCAGCAGCAGAACAGCCCCATCTTGCGAATGCAAGTTAGCCAAGCCAACACACCGAGAGGCCAGCAAGGATTCTGCCTCCGCACATGATAATCCAGGCAACGCTTGGAGACAGAAACGGGCCTGAGCCGAAGCAGCCCATAGGTTTACAGCGTGCCTGCTTAGTGCCAGGGCTCGAAGGGGAGGGTGGTAATGGCCAGCTGGGCCCAGAGCTGGCGTACGGCCAGCCCAAAGATGGCATCCTGCCCACAGGGCTCTTGGCAAGGTGCCTCAGCCTCCCGCCCCATTTGTCATGCAGCTTTGAGCAGTTTGAGAGCGAAGACGGTTAAAGTGCAGTATTCACACAATGCCATTGTCTTTTGTATCTCAGAACAGGCGGGTCCCGGATTGCCATAACGCGCAGGGCTGTTTTAACTGTGTTGTGATACAGGCTAAAGGCAGAAGAAAAGTAGGATGTGTGTGTGTGCCTGTGTATATATATCTAGGACCTTCCTCCGGCTATTTGCCCCTGTGCATATACACATGGTGTATATGGCACGTGCTCGTGGCCTGGAACGGCTCTAGCAGGAGTTCGCGGGGAGGAATGTGCACGGAGGCAAAGGAGGGACTGGAGATGCTCTTGCAGCAGAGTCTCCTGCAGAGAGCACAGACAGCTCTGCGTGGCCATCTCCTTCCTGGCAACGTATTGGGCTTGAATTTGATGCCCAGCTTTCTATAGCTGAACGAGGAAGACAAGGTTTTCGGGGAAGGAGAGCAGGCGTTTGCCAGGACTGCACGCCAGGAGCTTCTCATGTTCCAGGAGATTCATCGCAGAACATGATACAGTTCTTCCCCTTGATGAACGTTTCTGCAAGCTGATGGCACGGACCTCTCCTGGTCAGCGGGTGATCCCAAGGTTGCAAGTTCATACCCTGTGTGGACACAGACTGGGCTGAGGGTGCTTGGTGTATTTGTGTTTATTTAAGGATTGAAGCTAAGCTGAGTCTGTTTTCATCCTGAAAGCATGCTTTCCCGGGAGAAGTTTTTGTAGGACTCGACGTGGGAGTTGTGCTTAAACTGTTATTTCAGATGTGTTCAGAGGTAGTCTGATGCCCAGAGCAAATGCAAGGGGAACCAAATTGCTCCCCAAGCACTCCAGTATTTATTTACCCAAGCGAATGCTATCCACCTGCTGCAGGGACAGGCACTACACGCCGACTTTGCAAAACGTAGCCGCTAGCCTGACCTGCAGTCCCATCTGTTAGCGTGGAGGCAGGCGTGAGGATGTCAGAACAGGGCTTTGGCTTTAGCCCTGTGTCCTCCATGTCCTCCGGACTCCCCTCCTGCTGCCTGTTTTTTCCAAGGTTCCTAATATGCTCCCCCTACGCTGCCTGCTCTGTCTCCCATCTCCGATTTCCTGCTGCTCTTGGATTGTGGCCAGTTTCTCAAATGCAGAAAGTAAATCGTGCTCCAGCTGAAAACAAGTCTGGAGTAAAACTGTTCCTGTAAGAACTGCTGTCACGTGGAAGACAGCAGGGAGGCATGGAGCTGAGACATACTCGTCTGTAAGAGGCTGGTCGCTGTTGCTCCTAGTGAACCATGCTATTTACAGCAGCAAGCGAGGGTCCTGCTCTGCACAGAGGAAACATGTACTTAGGCTCTTCCACTGCCTGCTTGGCCTACTGCTTTCCACTCTTGTTTGTGCTCTGGACTGAAACCTGTTCCACTCCCCGTTTGTTTTGCAATGACCCTGACATGGCAAATGCACAGAAATAATTCTTGCATTCAGACCAGGACACGCCTGGGGCTTGTGTACAAGTTAAAGGAAGGTTTGGCTTGGTTTGGTCGGTTTCTCTGCAACCAATCATTAGGAACTGTAATGATAAATATGTGTTTGCAGTAATCCTTAATAAACTGGCTGGAGATTTTCCATCTGGGCCCCAGTCTGGTCTGGGTTGGGGTGACTGCAGCTCACCTATCGTGTAATCCCCAGCCCTGGGTGTTGTGGGGGCTGTCATCAGCCCTCAGAGCATCCTGCCCCCCCCCCCCTGGTGCCCCCCCCGCCGCGGCCCCTGCCACTGAAAGCTGCCCCGCAGCACTGCGTGCAGCAGGTCAGCGCAGGGGGGAGGCCGTGGCCCCACGCTGCGGTCGTAGGAGCAGGAATTGAACAAGCAGATCACGTGTCTAACTCGTTTCAAAAGGCCTGAGAGCCTCTGGGGGCTCCTTTTGGGACTCCTGGCCCAGGGCAGTGCTGGAGTACAAGGCTTACGTGACTACCGCTTACCCAGCTCTTGGCCTGGTGCCTGGAGCCTGGCCCACCTGGTGTGACGTGACCCAGAGCAGAAGCACTCAGCAGCAGCCGGTCACTCGTATGTCTCCGTGCTGGCCTGGGCCCCCTCTGCCCTCCCCTCCCCTCCCTCGCAAGGAACCAGGGCTGCATGTCTGCAGAGCCTTTATTTGGTGTTTCTACAGCAGCAGGTCGATGCTTCCGGAGCATGAGGGGGCTGGCTGCCTCCAGGGGAGGAGAGGAGCACATCTCTGCGTCCAGGACTGCGGGGCAGCTTGAATGCACTAGAAGAGCTGCTCCGTGCCTGGGCAGGCTCGGGCCGGGTCCACCCCATGGCGGGGGCTTTCAGACCTGGCCTTCATGGAGATGTGGTCTTCTGGGTCTGAGGCAGCTGGCCCCCGTGCCCATGTGCACACCAGGAGAGACGTGCACGAAGCCAGGACAGTGAGAGTGCCTGCCACAGGGAGCTGGGGGGCACGGAGGCGGGGTTTTGGGGAGCCAAGCTTTTGGCCTGGAGGAGACGTCACCGTTGTGGGTGGAGATGGGACGTGGTGTTATTGGGAAATGTTTCCCTCCCCTTGCTAGGATCTCTGCCACCCCGTAACCCACCCCAGTGTGAGCGTCTGACCCCAGGTGATGCCAGAGACTGGAGTGGTGATGGGGCAATGGGCAGGGACTGGTGTTTGCCTTGCTGCAATGGGCGTCTCCCACGTGGTTTCACTACGAAACTGGTCCAGAACGGAGCCAGGGTGCCGGCTTTCACCATGCAGGGTGGGGGGAGCAGCCCTTGCAGCAGCCGATCAGGAGCCGGTTCTCAGAGGGTGTGGGTGGGAGGGAGCAGCCTCCCCCCACCCTGCGCCGGTGGCCGCCTCCTCTACTGGGCCTGTTGCTGCCTCATGTAGTTGATGATGTCGTTCTTCACGACGGCGATGTTGGCCCGGTGGTACCAGCGCATCACGGGCACCCCGTTGGGGCCGACCAGGAACTTCTCGAAGTTCCACTTGATGTCGTGGTTCCGCAGGGGCTCCCAGAAGAGGTTCTTGGGGTTCCCGAACTCCTCCGCCACCGGCGGACAGGCGTTCTGCAACGAGCGCGAGCATCAGTACCCCCCTGCGCCCAAAAACCAGTGCCTGCCCACCGAGCGCTGGGGCGCAGCTCCCCTGGGGCACAGCTGTGGGCACGAACCTTCAGGTACGTGTAGATCTTCTGCTCCTTGGCACCGTTCACGTCCCCTTTCTGGAAGAGCTGGAACCCTTGCTGGAGGAGCTGGAAATTTGGGACAAAGCCACCCCCGGGCCGGACGTATCTGCAAGAAGAGAGGCCACCGCGTTGCATCGCGGGCTGCGTCGCGCAGAGGACAAGTCTTGCCTCCGCGCTGCGCGGAGGCGGTGGCAGAAGGAAACGGCT